GTAGGCAAACCCCAAGAAAGGGGGTGAACAAAACTGTACTGCTAATGTTGGCTTAGACACTTCGAAAAGCCAGCTTGCAAAGAGGACAGTACTTCTATAAATGTAGCATATGTTTTATTAAGGAAGGAAATAGGAATTATCTTACAGGAACTTTTTTTTCTGGTCCAGCATGCTTCGCGTCTTTCTGTGGGCACTCATTTTTACGCTCATTCTAAGTCTGTAACATGCACTGCCTTGTCATATATGGGATCCATGTGCTAAATATGTTACATTTGTTCATCACCAGCATGGATTAATTCTAAATGTCTTTCCAGTTGAAGGAAAGTCTAGTATTTTTTTTCCTTTTAAAACATAAAAAGTATCCTGCAATAGAAACAAATGTCTATCTGAGAGCCAGCTTCTGAATGCTGGACACGGAATATTTCCGTAGAAGCACAGCATGAGTAAATGACGCACTCTTTCTCCACATAAGGCTCCAGGTGCCTCTGTCACTATTTGATGACCCCTTACAGACTATGAATTCAGGAGACAGAGCAGAGGGAGCCAAGCCCCACTGTGCTCCCACCAAACCTCACCATTAATTACATACTCTGTGTAGCATAGTAGGGATCTTAGGGAGTGTCTTTGCTACACGGACAGAAGGGATGATTGGAGCAATGGAATGCAAGATGAGAAATCACTGCTACCCCGTGAAGTCGGGTGATAGGAACATTGTGATAGACTGTGTTCAAGGCGGTGGTTAAATTGAGCAGAATCAAGATGGGCAGACAACTCAGGGGTTGGCAATCAGCAAGTCCCACTGTGTTACATGCACAAGCATCAGGGTATATTTTATGAAACATACAGAAAGAAAATTAAAAAAAAAATTGAGAGGCACTGTAGGGAGGAAAGAAAAAATATTTTTGAAGTCAGTATTTCAAATATGCCTTAGCAATCCTAAGGCTTTGAGTTTATTGACTTCTCCAATAAAGCTGATTTTAAAAAATCAAATTGGAATTAAGCTACCTATAGCTTTAAGAAATATTGTAGAAAATATACGGATGTCAATAACAGGAAGAATTTTATGATTATAACCAAAAATATAAAGGTCAGTCTCCTCAGATAACTTGATACGAGGTATAGAAATAGATTTGAAGTTTCAACTAAGTTTTTGAATAATAAAATTACAACCACATTTTAAAATGAGAGTTAATAATGATTTTAAAGAGCGGCAAGAAGGTAGAGTAAAAGCATTAATAAATCACAAGTATATTTTGATTCTAAATCATTTTATAGGAACATTTCCAGATGTGGAATCTTATAGTTTGCAATAACAGAAAATTATTTTTTAGACTGTGAAATCTCTATGGAAACCTTTCTTGATTAAAGAAGCATTTCACAAATGTGTGGATGAAATAAACTTCAAGTGTTATTTTGCATTTATGTGAAATACAGATCATTTATATTAGAATCATTTAACATCTAATGGGAAAACCATATTTATCTGCCAGACAAATTTTGATGTTCCTTATCATTGAAATAACTCTTAAGAAATTATTAGACATATTTATATGAACTTTGTCTTCTACCACTTCCCAAAGAAACAGCATCTCCAATTCATTCATTCATTCATTCACTCAAATTTTCTTCCAAACTTGATGAGGTACAACTGAGAATTTTAAGTTTTATAGTGTTTTCTACTTGTGATTTAAATGGAAATGGAGCATTATGCATTAAAAGGCTTAGATTTATGTATTTAAGTATTCTAACCCTAGTTATAATACTCAGGAGTAAAATGTATATAATACGTTATTGAAAAAAATAGGATATATAAATATCTACAACGAGAGTAAGAATTTTCTTTTGAAAGTTCAGAGCATTAATAAAATCAAGACTTCTATTTCCAAAAACTCAAAATCGGGAGGAAAATGCACATATTTCTTTAGACAAATGGTAATGTGATCTTCATATCCCCGGGGCAATGTGAAGATACATAATTTATATATTCAAAATGTCTGATGCTGAAGACAACAAATAAGGGCAAAGTCTCTTTGGGGAGGAAAAAAAAAGGTCGGTGAGAAATTTAAACTGCATTCAGATCTTTCATTCAAAGGTATGCTAGCAGAAGAATCGTAAAGGACTTACAGAAAAATACTAGGATGAAAAGGGGAAGCCTGAAAAGAAATATTACTACATCAAGTCCATGAACATCATAATTAACATTGAAAATACGTAATATTACTACAGCCTGCCCAGTGTTGCTCAGTGGTTGAGTGCCAACCAGGAGGTCAAGGTTCCATTCCCTGCCAGGGCACAGGCCTGAGTTGGGAGCTTGATCCCTAGTAGGGGGCATGCAGGAAGCAGCCAATCAATGATTCTCTTGATCTCACCTGCAATCTGGGCTTGTGCCCTTGACTGGAATCGAACCCTGGAGACTTCATTCTGCAGGCTGATGCTCTATCCATCCACTGAGCCAAACCAGCTAGGGCTCATCATTGATGTTTCTATCTCTCTCTCTCTTTCCTCTCTGAAAACAATAAAAAGATATTTTTTAAAAAATTGAAAAACAAAACAAAGTTTACGACAGTAATTGGTAATTATTTCAGTGTAAAGGTTAGTGTTTGCTAGCGCAGAACTGATCTCCAAGAAGCTGGTGTCCCACAAGAGAGGCTGGCTCTGGCAGAGCCCCAGAGAAGACTGTCACAGTCTAGTGCTTTAGCATCCACTTCTGGTCCAGAGCGAGACTTAGACCTGGGTCCTGACGCTGAGTAAAAGCCGTGTGCTTTTCCGTCCACACACACTAGACTGGCAGGATAGGACTGGAGCCAAAGCCCTGCGTTGTTACATTGCTGTTGTGTCTAGATCCTGATCCTACTAAGAGGGGCTGCCTTATCACTCACACAACTTAGAGGATCATGTGACCAGAGGATCAGCATGACCTCTTCTGAGCTGTGACATCATTTCTCGTCAGGTTCCTGGGTGTGAGCAATAGTGGGCTCAGACACCAGTGATTATTCAGCTCTGGGTTTATTATTTTCTTTGTTGTAAGGAACTAGAGGCTCACGTGATTATCTCATTTTCATACACACCTTATCTTCAGAAGTGCTTGACCCATAGATGACAACCAATAAATTTGTTTCTCTATCTAATAAAAGGGTGGTTGGTGATGTGAATAGAGTGTCGGGTGGATTTAAAAAGACCTTTATATTGATCAGTGTACTTCCCTTACTCTCATACTGAGACATAGAGACTGTAACTTATTTTTATGTTTTTTACAACACTTAGAACCTTCCTTCTGATATGCAACACTATCCATAAATGATCATTGAGTAAATGCTCAATAAATATTTGTTGAATAGACTTTCAGGCCAGGCCCCCTTCCATAAAAATGAAATGCATTCATTTTATTTGGTCTTTTAAAATAGCTTTTGTCTGTAAATTCATATTTTTGTCTTCAGAGGCAAAGTTCATGATCAATGTCTACAACGTGTTCATTTCTCTAGAACGGGAAGTGAAGAGATTTAGAGAGATGTAGAAACCAAGAGAATTGGCAATCAAGGAACTCAGTTTCTTGTCATTTTCATTAAAAGGGGCAAAAGACTTTGTATGTTCTTGAGACAGTGAAATTAATGGTGCATCCTAATTAAGTGAATGTTCAGCCTCTTTTCTTGATTGCAGGGCCCTACAAAGTACAAGGAGAAAATGATCAAATTGCTTCATCCCAGTCTCTTCATGAAAAGAAACAGTCCCTTCTTCCTTGTCCGTCTTTCTCTTGTGGTCTCATGCAGTCAGGGAGTTGAGAGTAAATAAGATTAAAAACCACAGACATGTTTCCCCCACCATGGAGCTGATAGTCGGGACATTGCTCTGAAATAGGTTGGGCTCTGAAATTCCATTAATATATTTATTTGAAGACATAATCAGTCGTACTAAAACACACTTGGTCACATCAAAGCTATTCAACCAAAGCTTCCAGAATGCTTCTCTTACCCCAGTGTTTTATGGGATTTAGGGTGTAACAGAAACCCACCCAGACTTTGGGTTTCCAATTTTGAATCTACTACTTAGCCTATGACTTTTGGGAAATGAATGAAGTTCTTGGAGGCTGTTATTTCATGTACGAAATGTTTATAGCCAAATGGTGCACTTGATATGGAGGGAATCTATTTAAAGAAGTAGATCTATAATAGCCTCTTAAAAATTCTATGCATCTTTCTCCTTAATAATTAGAAATTTGTATTCATGAATAAATTGGGCTTTGAATAAATGTGGGTTCTGTTTTCAATCCTCAGGACATGTAATGACCAATATAAATTTCTCATGTGTTCCATTTTTGCAGTATTTCAGATGCTCAGATGTTTGCAAAACTTTAATTTTATAAGGGCACATTATAGGATTTATAAACATATTTTGATTGTATATTTGTGTGTTTTTTTACAATCCAGGTAGCAATGATAACTGCTAATGAATTATAATGTTGATATTTGTCTTAATGAATTGTAATGTTGATATTTGTCTTTTAGGCTTTCCATTAAAAAAAAATGGCTTGCATGTCATACTCAATTATTGATGTATCTGAAAGAATGAAGAAGACTGATATGGCTTCAACCACTCTAGAAAATTGAACACTCCCAAATGGTTGAAGTTATACAGCTTTTCTCCTAATTATGGAAGCCATTTTTTAATGGAACGTGGATTTTTTTGCATGTTTTCATCACTATGCACTGTCATCTCTGCATTTATTTCATAATGTGTATGGTTTCAGACATAAGTCATAGTTTAATTAATCATCTTATTTTGAACGTGGCTTCATTTAGAGATTTTAGTAGATTACTAGGTATGAAATACAGTAGGGGTTATGCTTACCCTTAAAAGAACAAGGAGCCAGGGTAATACAAAGTGTGCTAAAAACCAACCACAGATGTGCAATGAGGTAATATAGGAGAGGATCTATTCCATGTAAAATTAAACTCTATAATTTCTGAGAAATGTCTAAGTACCAACCAGATTTGTAACTAAGGTAAGAGGCAGCCAGAGGATATTAAGTCCATGGTTCTATTTTGAAGTCCATCCAATGGAACCATATGATCTAATCTGGTGCTCACATACTTAAATTATCTAATAAAAGTTCAGTATTATAAATTATTTTAAACCTAAGGACACAACATTATTTTTTAAACCTGTATCTTATTTTCTCTCTCTCCAAGTATTTTAAAGAACAGCAACCTCCCATTTATTTGATATAAAATTTTAACAAATCTGATCTTATGTTTTGTAATTTATGTCAAGGAACAATTGTATTTTTTGAATAGCAAATTAGGCAAATAGGTTTAGGCTACACATTGAGGCCTTATATGAAAAGTACGTTCTCTCTCTATTACACTGTTTGGTGGTATTTGTAGTGGGTGTAATTTAGGATATTCATCCTTCTTATGTGGCTCTCAGATCCTCCAGCTAGACACAGTCTCCATAAAAAAACAAAAACAAAAAACAAACAAACAAACAAACAAAAAAAACAGAGACATATACAGAAATCATCCTTTTGGTAAAATAAGATGACTGAAGAAAAATTTCTGCGTTATGACACCATTAGGGCTGGAATACAGCCTAAGGAGAGAAAGAAAAAAAGTTATACAAAAATGTCCTTACCGAAAGTCCCCCTCCCCAATTTTTTTCTTAGTAGATTTTTATTGATTTCAGAGAGGAAGGGAGAGGGGGAGAGAGATAGAAACATCAGTGATGAGAGAGAATCATTGATTGGCTGCCTCCTGCATGCCCCACACTGGAGTTTAAGCCCACAATCCAGGCATGTGCCCTGAACAGGAATCCCAGGAATTAAACTGTGACCTCCTGGTTCATAGGCCAATGCTCAACTATTGAAACAAGCAGGCTGGGCATACACACCCTCAATTTTGATAATAATACTGACGGGAGATATTTGCATGCATGCATAGTTACCTTGTTGTTGTAATATGCCACTTAGCTATCTCCTGGGATTTTATATTACTGATTTCTACAACATTGATTATCTGAAATGAAATCTACTCTAATCATTGGTATTTTAATATCCGATATTTCCAATGAGGTTAAGGCCATCTTATTTACATCAGGTATAAATTCATTGTTCCTATCCAAAATGGTCAGCTGGCACTTAAAAACCAAGTTCGTTCCATTTGCAAAATTTGTTCTTCTGCTCTTGGTGCCTCATATGTAAGCACTCTCAAGAGCTGTTGGGCTCTTCCCACTGGGACACCAACCCAGCTCTTCACAGGATGGGTGTGCATAGACAGGATTGCTAAAGACTCCTGGAAACCAGGGAGCCTTATGAATTAGAGGGCTCATCACCACATTGCAAGTCATTGTTTTGGAGGCTACATATTTGTAGGAGAATTTGAATCAAGATGCACACACGCCCAGCAGGTGTGGCTCAGTGGTTGAGCATTGACTCATGAACCTTTCCATTCCCAGTCAGGCACAAGCCTGGGTTTTGGGCTCTATTCCCCAGGAGGGGGCGTGCCAGAGGCAGCCAATCAATTATTCTCATCACTAATGTTTCTATCTCTCTCGCTCTCCTTTCCTCTCTGAAATCAATAAAAATAAATCTTAAAAATAAAAAAATAAATATATAAGATGCACACATTAATAGGATGTTGCTATAGCTTTAATTTGGATACATATGTGCATCTTATTTATTTATTTTTAATATATATATATATACACACACACACACAAAGGCAGTGTTTATTAAAATACATTTCATTTTCTAAAATTGACCTGTCAGCTGTCTAAGTGTGTATACATTTTTTGGGGGACACTCTATATATCCTCATCTCTGGAACTGCAAGAATATTATACTTAAGAACATGGCCAAGGTGTACCAAAGGCATAGACATAGGCTGCTTACTTACCAGAAACTACTTATTTTCAGAAAAGAGTGAGAATTGGTAAGACGTAAGGGAGATATTGAAGTATCCCTCTAGCGAGGAAGCAAGGACCCGCTGGACTTGTGTTTGTTTGGAATGTAGGTAGAGAAGGGCCCTCACAACCCTATGTTGCCTCTTTAGAGCCCCCCCCCCCACTTCCAATCCGCCCGTCCACAGGCCAGCTCTCCTCCAAAGGAGGAAAGGCAACCCAGCTGGTGGTGTACAAGCGGAGAGCAAATGAATGAATGGAGTGCGGGCTGGGGCGGTGGAGGCATTGCTGTTGCCTATTCAGCCACAGCAAAGAAGATGACTTACCAACAGCACTTTCATCATCCCGGCCAAATGTTTCTTCTTCCCTCTCTCATACGCTGCCTCAGTCTGTGCGAGAGAAATCAATTTCCTCTCCACCTTCCCCTCCTCTCTCCGGGGTCCAGAGGGAGCCAGAGCAGAGGGCAAAAGACTCCCAAGGTGCTTTTTTCTGCGGATCCTGGATCCTGGCTCCCAGGGGAGGGTGAGCCCAGGGAGGGAGAGAGGGGGATGGTCCCTAAGGAAGGTCCGGGGTTGCCATGGGGGGGGGAGGGGCATTTCACAGCCCAAACACAGAACCCCCACCTGGAGAATCATCCCAGCCCCACAGTCCCACAAGCAGTGCCTAAAGGGACATAGATTTCAGAAAAGGAAAAGAAAGGAAAGGAAGATCCTGAATGGAGAGGTAGAGGGACAGGGAGCGGGATGGGGCCGGGGAGAGAAGAGGGGAGCAGGAATCACGGTCTTACCCTACCATCCGAGCAGGCAGGCAGGCGATCTTTAGTTCCTGCAAGAGCAGGGATGCGAAAATGGCAAAAGAATGCATCCTGCTGCAAAGCCCTTCCCAGCGCACGCTCTCCCGCGGTAACCGCGCAGGAACTGGAGGGGATGGGACCCAGGGGGCTCCCCTCCCCGCCTGAAACCTGCTTCCCAAGGGACTATCTCCAAAGCTACTCTAGCTTCTAAGTCTGCAGCTGAGGTTTCAGGTGGTGTGAGTCCATGGAGTCTATTGCTTTGCATCCTGGGCTGCAGGAGTCGCGGTGGAATCAGCACCACGGAGAGCTCCCGCCGCCTCTGCGGCTGCCTCCGCTGCAGCCCCTGCGCCTCTCACCGCGGAGCGCAGTCCCCTTGCCTGAGCCTGGGGCACAGCGCCCCCCGACTGCACTGGGCCTCAGAGGCATCCTCAGCCCCTCGAACCCCCTCCCCCGCCCCCAATGCTGATGATCTGGCCATCCTAAAGTGATCACTGTGGGGGGGACAGGGAAAAGGGGGGGAGTGGCCGCGCTGGGCTTCTTATAAGAAGCTTCCCGCATTCGCTGGGGCTCAGAGGGCTCAAGGGGGAATCCTAGGGGGAAAATGTGCTGGAGGAATAGGATGATGAATGGTAATCATGAGCTTCCGGGAAGCAGGTAACTCTTAAAGCTCCCAGAGGAGGAGCAGGGCGCTCAGAGAGCAGGATTGGGGAGGCAGTGCCCTCTCGCATTCTCATTGGATCCTTTCCCAGCAGCCTCAGTCCTTCTTGCTGCACTCTCTCTCTCTACCCCGACGCCTACAGCCTTGCTCACTAGTTCTCTCTCTCTCTCTCTCTCTCTCTCTCTCTCTCTCTCTCTCTCTCTCTCTCCTCTCTCTCTCTCTAGCTCCTTGTCTTCTTACCACAGCTTTTTTACTCCTCTTTTTTTTTTGCAGATTTATCTGCATTCCAGCTCCCTGCTCTCTGGGGTTTACAGGGTTTCTGCTTTTCTCCACTCTCTGGATTTTCATTCTGCCTGCCTAAAGATCATCCCATTAGAAGCCCCTTTCCCTTTCCACCACCACCACCACCACCGCTCCCTCCCTTCCTCCCTCCCCAAACTAAGAGGCGACCTCCTCCACATTTTGCTTCCCTTCCTTGGGGTTCTCGTTGGCTCTCAAGGGGTACGGGGCTTGGACTTGGTTACATGCCACCGGGAAGAGCTGGTCATTTCAAAGTTCCACCAGCCTGCAGCTCCTCCTCGCCGGACCTCACTTTGGGAGATCATGGGTTATCTGTGTGAATTCTGGAGGTATCTGTTCCCGCTGTCCACCTGCTTCTGGAGATTTCTTTCCTCTGGTAAGTTATCCCCTTTTACGCATTCTTAGAGACCCATTGCAGCTGTTATTATTTTTTAAATAAGCCATGTTTGTTTTTAACAAACATTAAATGCGTTCTTGTGACTTGCAGAACTCAGAGATGTATGTAACTGCGTTTCATGACTGTGTTGGTTGCTGCTGTGCTGAGATACAGTCCATGTAGTGAGTCACCCCATCATCTCTACATTCTGTATTTATTTCCGCCCTCGCTGATATTACAGGCTGTAGGAAACCTTAGCCATCCCTCCACACCCCTGTCAAGGCTCCTGGGCACACAGTCTCATACCCTTTGGAAGGTGCGATTTGATGCTTCTCTAAGAGTGAGCCCAAGAGGGACCTTCTGACAATCGCAAGGTCTGGCAGAGATCGCTAGTCCTCTGGCATCAGAGGGCTGTTCATGTCAGTCTGTGTTCATAGCAGCCGGTTACCTGAGGGTGGGAGGACTGTGCAAAGTGTGTGTCTGTGGGGGGTCTGCATGGGAAGGAGTGCGAGTTCTCAGCGCATCATCGGCGTGTTCCTCACCACATCCCTCATCATGCGTGGACACGCTATTCCGGGCACTGTCTTCCCATCCGAGCATCCTGCTGGGAGCACCTTTCTGATGCCGAGAATGTAGCCGGGGGTGGTTGGATGGTTAATGGGACTCGGAGTGCTCGTTTCAGAGGGGGAGAGCTGTGCAGAGAGCGCGTTGATGATCTTGGTCTAATAAATGGAGATTCAGGGACAGACTTGATGTGAGAAATGTAACTGCCTCACCCCCACTTGTTCAGCCCCCAGGCTCATTTTTTAAGTATGTTCCTATGTCAGCATGTGTTTTTTTTTTTTTCTTTCTTTTATGAACATTTTTGTGGGCTTAACTGACAGTCCGGACTTTCACTAAATGCCACCCCTGCCTGCATCAGTACCCGCTGATGAACACTGAGGTTTAGGAGTTTTCTCTGACACCCCCCCTACAACCCCCCCCACCCCCCCAAGAACAAGTTTCTGCAACATCTCTATTTGGGTGGATGGTGAGACCCTATATACAAGCTTTTTTTCTTTCCTTCTTTTTTTTCTTCTTCTCCATTTTCCTATTAAAAAATAAATTCCCCGGAAAGAACTATTCCCCTCACCCTGATGCTGCTTGATGAGATCCCAAGTCCTGCTTTTTAAATGCAAAAGCCCTTTGAGCACCCACACCTAAGTGCTCCAGCTGCAGCCCAGCCCATCCCCCAGGCTCCAGCTCCAAGGGCTTCCCCCCTGGGGTTCCCCCAGAGAGCGGGGCTGGGGCCTGTCTGCCCCCAAGGCGCCCCCACCCGCCCCTAGCCTCTCCCCACTGTCTGGTTGCTCTGCCTGTCCAGTGCCCTGGGCGTCTGTGACTTCAGTTGGAGAAACCAGGGTTTAGCGTAATTCACCAAACCCAGCCTCCTCCTCCTCCTCCTCCTCCTCCTCCTCCTCCTCCTCCTCGGAGCTCTCTGCTGATGCGCAGGGAGGGGTGAAGGGAGGGGGCCCCCAACTTTCAGTGCAGCCAGACCTGCTCTTCTCCAGCTGGTCTCCTCCTCCGGAAAGACCCAGGCAGGCGTCCCTGTGGAGGTGAGTGCCTTTGGCCAGATGAGGACCTGACCCTGGGCTTGGGGAGGGGGGGATGCGGGTGGCAGAAGCTCCTGCAGGCTGAGACGCTGTATTTAACCAGCAACAGGCGACTGTGCCTGCAGGAGCTTCTGCCACTCCGGAGTCGCCACCGGAGCCACCTGGGCGCGGGGAGCGCGGGGGACCAGGTGCCCGGTGACCGACTGGCTCTGGTCTGGGTGCGGGGTGCGGGGCGTGGGAGGGACCCGCGCCTGGAGGGACTGTGCGGGGGCGCTGGGACCCGCTGGAACCGGCAGTTCCCTCAGCTCTGCGGCTGATGGGCCGCCCGCTGTGGGCATTGACAGCCTGGGAGCCTGGGACACACCAGGAGGGGGGTTGGGGTCAACCAGGCTGAATGCTCCTTTCCCAGCCTCCCTCAGGCTGCGCTGGAGCCAAATCCTCTTGGCTGGGCCGGGGGACAGGATTGGGGGCTAGAGCATCTCTCATTAGCGCCTTCTGCGTCCGTGTCAATGAATGAATTCATTGTTGATGAGCTGCCCTAAGACTAATCCATAAGGGCTCTCAGCCTCTGTCTGCCCCATAAAACCCCAGTAGCCACCTGCCTCTGAAGGGATCAGTTGGGTTGATTTTTTTTTTTGGGGGGGTGTTAGGGGGGTCCCTAAGTGACTTCTCAGGCTCCAGCTTAAAGTGTTGTTGACCCACCTCCTCTCCTCCCCACTCCCCTTCTCTAATGGGCTGGGACCTGCTGGGCGGTGGGATGGGGGAGCGGATTGCAACTTGGAGCTGGAGCTGGGGCTGTAAGGTTGAAGTTCAAGGCCAGGAGTGAGGGCTGGGAGGCATTGCAGGCTGCCCGCTTTCCCAGTTGGGCTTTTATGTGTATGTTTCCCCCGCTGCTCCTGGGCGTGGGATGAGAGGCGGGCAGCTGGGGCTGGCGCCGGCTCAGTGTCCATTCCAGAGGGAGGGGGGGGGGGTGGCGCTCTGGCCACTGGGTATCTCTGGTTGGGCATCCAAGTGCTGGCTCTGAGTTCCCCAGCTCCCATGGTTGGTCTCCTTGTCGCCTGGAGTGGATGCAGAGACCATTTTACTGGGAGCCAACCAGGTGGAGAAAGCCAGGAGCCTTGCAGTGCAGGGACCTCCTCCTAGCGGGACCCCTGATGGGCAAAGCTGAGGGAGATGGGGTGCCTGCTTCCAGCTGTGTGAGCCGCCCACCAGAGGCTGGGGGAGAGGAGGAGGTGACCAGCATTGCTACAGAGCCCTACCAGTGCTTGCAAATATTCTAGCCACTCCTGTGTCTGTCAGCCAAGAGCCCAGCTCCAGGGTGGAAGGCTGTCATAGCTCAGAAGGCGGATGAGTCAGGGCTGGAGGACTTTTCCTTGGTTGTGCCTTGTAGATGTGTCTGTCCTCGTGCAGCGAAGCAGGTAAGGACCCCTTGCCTGCATTTTCTTGACAATCCTAGAACCCGTGTCCGACCCATCCGGTGATCATTTTTTCTCTGCCTTGAGCGGTGGCATACAGCCTGTGCATGTTCAGATGGTTCTGCAATGATGCATAACTTCGTTGTATTCACATCCATGAGCTGTCTTCACTCCATGTACGTGCATGCAGTCATTTAAATGTCCCACTGGCAAGCATTGGGATATTTACCAATGCTATAAAAATTGTAAACTGGGCCAAGGTGAGAGGGGGGAAAAATGGGGAAGGGAGGGAAGCATAACCCCAGTGAAGAATGCGAGATGATAGCACCAGAAGTGCCTGAAAACTGCTTGTTGTTAAGGTCACAGACCTTAATATGTAAAGGATACTTGGAGAACTATCAAGGGCATCTGGAACTAGCAGTTTAATTCTGACTCCATGGGAGTGAATATTTTATGTTGTTATTTTTTTAATTTAAAA